TCAAGGCAGCCTACTTGCCCGTTGAAGACCTTTCTGGTACTACTTATGCGGACCACGGGTCGCAAGGGCGGGCAATCGCAACGAGGTGGTTCAAGAATAGATCCGGAAAAAGAGAGAGCGAGGGAAGCAGCTTCAGATGTTTATGAAGGAAGCTTGCTTTACAAATCAGAAATGCAATTACATTTATTTAAGTAACTCTGTGGAGCTGGGTGGGGAATGACGATGGAAGAACATTGCAGAACCACAGTCCTCAAAGGGGATGCGCATGGCCACATGCAGGACATGCTGCCTGCATACCAAGTGGTGAGCTTGAAGTGCGCTGACGCAACAGTTGGCCCGGAAACCAAGAACATTCGTCCATTTCGGAATTTCAGTTTCTCCAATCCTTGTTTTTAGAATTTCTAAAAAGCAAAGAACATGAAAATTGTGTTTAATGTGTTTTTGAAAAACCGCACAGGGGGCTAGGCTAAATCTCAGGACTCAGTTGACCCTGACGAACCATCACCACTGCCACCGCTACCGCCACCACCCTTCCATTACACAAGGTCGATCGGGTCAACCGAGTCAACTGGGGCGATGCCAGGAGCCCCTAGTAGCTTCTTGTTACTGTTCAACCGGGTCAACCGACAGCACCACATTTACCCCCCTATGCCACACTCAAAAGATCGCAAGGTGGGCAGAGCATTCCTGGCATGAACTCAATGGTTCAGCCCCTTGGCGATGTGGCGCGTCTTCATTCCAAGCCGGAAGCGTTGTGAAGCCTTGGAAGACGCGAGGAAGGGAAGTTTGAGGATATCAACAGATGTCGGGTTTTCTGCAGTACGCTGGGCCCTGAATCTGGCCTCAAACTAGTTACTAGTTCATGCTTGGTCAATGTCAATCATAGAAATTCACGCAGTATAAGAACAGTGCTTTTTTTGCTCTTGATGGTTCCTGCACGAGTGTGCGCTTTTGAGAGCTAGATGCTCCATAGACATTCCTTATTTGGCCATCCTGCATCACTATCTTTGGTGTTTACTCAGCTTGCGCCAGGGATGGTTTCACTCTGGAGGGGAACGCCGTCCCCGCATTGACGAGCATGACAACCGCTTCCGACACCTGACTGAAATGGCGTGTTGCAACTTTCCAAGATGCTACTTGTACGACGTAGGAGCATCAAAATTTGGACATCCTCAGTACTGTGCTGAACTTTCTGCGTGCAGCTTGTGAATAAATGGCGTGGCCAAATTTCCTGCGGGAGCCGCAAACCAGAGTATAGACATCAGCAACTGTTTGCGCCAATGGAGGATCTTGAAACATGGGACGCATCATTACGGACAGAGTCTAAGCAGAATATCAGGCAAGGTCAAGTGTGAGATACAGCTGTTGCAGCAATCGCCAGTCGTGGACATGCCCGACTTTGGCTAGCTATACGTGCAACAGCAGAGTCCTTAGCATTGTTTGGCCTTGGATTGAAGCACTGCATGCCTGTAGGCTAGCTCTGGCCTTTGATTTAATGTGCAGATTGATTGTGCCTGTATGTGCCAGTCACGTTGAATGCAATCATGGTCCCTTTGTTGCTGTTTCTACTACTGACTCGACAAGATTCACTGTACACTTGAGCAAGTGGATAGGACTATAGGACTGAACTGGCATCCAGCCGATTCGGAAACCGGACGCCTCATTGTCAGCTTTGTCTCGGGCCAGATGCCCTTTGTTCCTCGTAACGTCCTTTGCTCCTGGTCCTAGTAGTAAGGCCAGGAGCCCCTAGCGTCCTTGCTCCTAGTAGCGATGCCCTTTAGCTCCTAGCATGGGGTTTTCTCCAGACTTTAGAAATAGACAAGATAACGGACAACTGGAGTGAACGTGGAGTGTACGTCTGGGCTTTGGTGAACAATGTGACCAATGAAGCCTGAAGCAAACAGTGAAACACTGCAGTTGCTGTGGAAGGAGTTTCGGACGGAGCGCAAGTATGCCCAAAATTGCCCAAGCACCCTTTGATGCCCTTTGCATTTACATTGAAATTTACATAGATTCTTGCAAGGACGTTGCTTTCATTACAAAGCAGCAAATTATTTGGACGATTCAATGCAATTTGAACTAATTACCACCAAGACCGAATGGCTTTACCAAACAAGCCAATACCACTTTGTGGGATTAAGTTTGACAACCTACTTCCTCACGAGCCGGGCATGTCCAGGCTTGCTGTGCTCTCGGCTGCATTAGTGAGTGACATTTTACAGACTGTTACAGATGCATTTTAGATATGTTTAAATCTTTGTTCGTTGGTTGGGGATGGTTTGAGTTTGGAGACGCTTTGTGAACATTTCTCGAAACTGAGCTTTTTCAGTTTCGACCAACGCGAGGCCGGCAGAGCAGCAAAACATGTGCGAGGCGAGTGCGAAATTCGTCCAAGATGCCAAGCCCGAAAACCCAGTGCGTTCCCGGTGCAAGAAGACGTGAAAATGAGGTGAAGTTTTCACTCAGTGTAAGCAGGTGTCGGTTGTTTTCGCGAAACCGAGTGAAGGACAGGCAAGCTGGCAAGTTGTCCATGTCTTTTTCCAAGGGTTGCAATTCGGCTTGAGCCATGTGGGTCAATGTTTGATGGGACGCGAGAACAATTCAACACAACAATGAAGTGGTGTTTAAAATCCATTCAACCCAGAAGAACATGTTGTCAAATGGTTTATTCATTGGTTTGAGTACATGACACCAAACGCAAACGAAAACACTGCCTGCTTTTGCATAATACTTGTACTTGTACCTGTTTGTCAACCTGAGTGAACTGCGCCTCCAGACTTTTCAGAGTGTAGAACTTAGAAAGCTGCGGAATGCAAAGGGGGATTCAGTGCCTTTGTGCTGTTCTTTCACTTTCAGGTCAAACTCAATCCCAACAAAACAAAGGAATTGGCTTTCGGAAACCAATCCGATCGGAAATGCTGAAAGTCACCGGTGGTCGGGCGAAGACGTGTCGATCGATTGTGCCGTTTTTGTTCGCCTGCGAAGTAGGTCATGTCTTGGTCGTCATGCCAATGTCTCTAAGCCATTCGAAGCAAAAGGTTTGCCCGTTCCCGAGGACACCTTTAATCAACAGTGCCACTGCGCTGGGATGCCTAGAAACTGGAAAACTATGGAGAACTAGTAAACAGCGGTAAACAGCCAGTCCAGGGTTGTGGGTGAGCTACCTTCTTATTGGTTGTTCACCCAAGTGACAAAGCTTGTGACATCGGAGAGTTGACAGCTTTTTGACCTGGCCCTGGTGGCTGAAATTCTGTAAACTCACTCCGCAAAGACTCGGTGCAGTCAATTGTGTCATGCGGATACCGATGCAGATTAGCTATGATTAGCTATCTTCCGATCGAACTGCTTGCAAGCACACACCGTCGACCTGTCAGCGGTTAATCAAAGTTTTTAGGCACGGCACAACTAAGCGGTTGATTTGAGAAGCACATAGGTGGAAGGTGGTGGAGGGGGGGAGTCGAAAGCGAACTCCGATTTGTGAGGTTCAAGTGCAGATACTTTCAGAAGTGGGGATCTCCTGCTGGCACTCCGTGCAACATTCGTGACATGTACAAGGAGACACGTGTGACTGACAGAGTTAGGGGCGAATGTGATCATCCAAAGGCATTGCAACTCCAGAAAGTATCAAGTGAAACAGTGAAACATGCTAGATCAAAAGCAGACCAATTGTATCATCAAGACCTTGATCAGAGCTGTGTCAAAGCTTCTTAAAGATAGCACCTCACGTGGTCATCACATCAAACAGCGCAGACCCAATAGCCGGGGTTTGGACATGACATGGCCCCCTGAGGCAAGATTAAAGGTTGTGAATATTAAAAAAAAGGACTCGATGAAGGTGCATGTGTAGGGACTACACGACACGTGGGGACTACTGTCAACTATTCTCAGTTTGGCACTGCTTTTCTGGCAGGACGTTAACGGCAACTGGGTTGGCGAACGCCTGGCAACAATTGCGCCATCACAGTTCAGCGTTCTGTGGCCTATTAGTTAGGCATTAGGCAACAGTAGCTTTGCCATTCCACCCAAGATGAACATAGAGGCCAAAGCACTGAAACTGATGACCAGATACTTGCCAGGCATGTGTGAATGCTCAGGGTGAAGTCCAGAAATACTGGGAGTGCTTGCCCTAGTATGCTTTTTCTGGAAAGACTTTTCTCCATTCTGACAAGCGTTCTTGGTATGTGGGACGGGATGACATGTTCCAAGGGATTGTAGCCTGGCTGAGCTCCAAACGTCTGCACCTCAGCACAGCGAGCGTCAACAAGCCTCATGGGGCGACCAGCCAAAAGCTCGAAGAAGCTGAAGATTCTGCTTTTTCTCGTGTTGAAAACGAACGTGTCGACTTTTTGCAGATTCTTAGATTATCTTTGTCTTTTTCCACGGTTGTTGTGGGTTTTATGTCGCAGGCGTATCGGAAAATTAAGAAAAAAACACTTAAGGCAATGGCTCGTTTGCTCATGTTTGCTCTTTGCTACGCCTTCGAATCCTTGAGCCCGTTGCCACCCTCGGTGCGTTGACGGGCTCTGAGCTGAAACAGATGAGTCAACATGTTGAAAGTCCTTCGTTGGGCTTGGTTTGCCTTGTGGCATAGCATTGAGCTGTTGATGTCGCTGGCTTGATTTGTGTGCTTGTGCGGGCACATAGTAGAGGCCTACAATGGGCCAGATGTAAGCCAGGCGAACAGAATTGAACAGATGCAAACGACTCAGAACATCTTGGGACATCGCTTTGACCTGAGAAGGGGAGATGCCATCGGGAGATGAGGTAAGAGTTGCAAGTCGATCGTCGCTTCCCAGCGATCTGGTCCGCCTTACAGGCGGACTCCTTGCTGACTCCTTAACTGTTCTTTCACTTGTGACTCGTGACTGTATCACCCTTGAGGATTCGGGTGTGCTTTTGCACCTCTTTCTTTCTGCTTTCGGATTCGCTGACGAAAAAGCTGCGTGTGCTTGGTATTTGCTCGTCTTGGTCGCTCTGTCAGAGAAGTGTTCGGTGTCAAGACCTGAGGACAAGAGCGCGTTTGACACGCCACACAACACCCGGAGAAGGCCTCCAACACGCGGAGTCCATGTCAAATAGAATTGGCCAAGGAACATTCGCAACGTCGCAGCGGACATGACGAAGGCAGGATTGAGGAACTGACGGACCACTTGTGCGATTGTGGCTCGGTTGAATTGCCATGGGCTGCGACAGCCAGCACTCCTATACAGGACCACTCAATTTCTCCCAGCTACTCCCTAATTATATGCTACCGCTTGCTGCTGCTGCTGCTGCTGCGGCTGCTGCCGCCTTTGTTGCAACATGTTCCGACTTTTACCACCCTTGCAATCATTGCGATACTCCTACTGCTGCTGCCGCTGCTCGTGGGATTGCTGCTGCTTGCTACTGGCAACCACCACACCCTCACCTATCATTTTGCAACTTCGACTCCGACTCCACTGCCGCCATGCTGTCACCATACCATCACCACCATCGCCACCGCCATTGCCACTAGCAGCAGTAATAGTAGCACGCTTTTGTGTGGTGCATTGGAAGCGTTATTTGCTGCTTTAAGATGCTTTGAGTAAGTAATTTCCAGCAACGGATTTCATCTGGTGCATCCTCTACCAGGAATGGAACCGAACCTTCGACCATCTTCGACCGGAAACACACCGTACTTTGAAACCCGACCAGCTTTGGGCGCTATCTGAACACCTTTCGCATTGAAACTGAATTCCAAGCTTCCAAGAAAGCAACGTGCTAAAGCCTGGTTAATTCCGGGTTTTGGTTTTGTGTTCAGTATATATATGTATATGTACGTTAATAAACGTATAATATATATATATACGTTAATAAAAGTATATCTAATATCCAGATTTGGCATGTTCAAGGCTCTTGGACGACTGCTTTCGTGTGAAGACGACTGCCTCTTTTGGCAGAGCGACCCGAAGTTCTTGCAGAATTCACATGCAAATTGTCAGCTGCTTGGAAAAATGGAAAGGGCTTCATTTTCATGTTTCGCTGTGAGAGGGATTCGAGTACTTCGACGATATCGTTGTAACGGTGCCTTGGAGTGGCTGCGTGCCACACTGCAGCATCAGATTTCTGGAGAATTTGCAGCCTTGCAGTTTAGTCGCAGGTGGGTATTGCACCTCTACTCAGCTCTACTCAACCAGAAATAGTGGTTAAAGCCATTAAAGACTTAACCCGATCATTTGCGCACTTAAATTTTAACAACTGTCAGTCATGCTTTTTGTCTTTGTGGGTTTCGTGTGTATTTGTTCCTACCTTGTCCCTGTGGCAAAGTTTGCCGAGGTCCTGGACTCCATCACTCAAGACATGATCCAGGCAGCCGGAAGCTGAGGAGTTATCAGGCGGCATTTGCCAGACTGGTTGTGCTCGGTTCAATTTTGAAGCACAAGTTTGTATTCGTTGTCATAGGACCAGTCATACAACAAACATCCATTTGGGTTTTTGTTTTGAGATTTAGGGAAGACATTCTTTAAGCCTTTCTCAGCGCCAAACCTGAAAAGGAACATGCTGAGCAGAGCGCTGAGCAGAGCTGTTTTCCTCTCACAATAGGTAGAGATTGATGTTGAGGGAAACCAATGGAACGTTTACGAAAACCACACACAGAGAGACAGCCAGCAACAACCCAGGAGAATCACAATCACCTGTTTGCTGGAACAGTTTGAAGTTCAGTTTGGACTTGTTGATCAGAGGACCGGAACACAATAGTTCATGAAGTTCATGGTGTTCAACACAGATGGGCACAGGTTGCGAGAGAGCAAAGAACAACATTACTTATTTTTGAACATGATTCTGTGGTACCAAGGGAAGCGCGTTACACAGATTCAAAGAGGGCTCCAGGGCAGTTGGATAAAGTGTAGTTTACAGTGGTTTGATAATGGTGCTTTGCTGCCTGGAGTTAGGCCCAAAATGTTGAGGTGACTTTTGTTTTTCAGAGGCAAAATCACAGAAAGTGTTTGCACCAATGTTTGCTGCTTCTAATGACAATGCTGAGGTGAATCAGAACATCTTGGAGCCTCTCCAGGACTTGCTGTCAGGCTTCGATTGCACCTTCATGCGGAGTTTCTGGCAGGCGAAGCCAAGCCCGGCGTTCGTGATCGGAGGATGTGCTCGATAGAGTTGGTATTGAAAACGTATTCTAAACTGTTTCGTACAGAAAAGTGACATGAAGTGATAGCCTAGTGATGTACAGTCATTTGTTTTGCCTTTTGCAGTGAAATCGGGATGATATAGCGCAGTCCTGTCATAGTTGGTTGAGCGAACACGGCTTTGCCGCAAGATGAGCATTGGCTGTGACTGAACTTGCTTGCCCGACTTTGAAGCCACACAAGTAGCGTCCTTGCTCCTAGTAGTAAGGCCAGGAGCCCCTAGTCCTTATGAACATCGCCCAACGATCGCTTTTGAACTACCCTTGGCCAACCCCACGGGTTGTACTGTAGATTCTACTCGCACACCCTACGCAGCCTTACGCAGCTGTGCATTTTGGATATTGTGTTGGGCTGTTAGTCTCTCGGGATCAACCAGACCCGAGTGTTTTTTTTCTTGTAAACTACATTCCTTTGAAGTATCTCGTTGATAGCGCCGCTTGAAACCTCTCATGGCCTCAAGATGGGAGGATGTTGGTCAGAGCGTTTGTCCCATGGACTGATATGACTACCGGTTGGCATGATCTATTACCAGAGAAATGACACAACTTTCCCAACGAAGGACCCAAAAGGCAATCACCGTTGCTTTCGTCTACATAACCTATCGTGAGATACTGCCTGCAAGCTCTGGTATATTTTTTGATGTCAGATAAAGGAAGAACACCAAGTCCATGTTGCCTTTCCAGCTTTTTGGGCTTTGAAGGCCAAGGAACAAGGAATATGATTCAAAACGTTGGAACTTTGAACGTTTGCCACGGTGCTTCTGCCAGGGCCTGACAGACTCGTTGTGCTACCGGTCAATGAATGGTTTCCGCGCCATTGCCAACAGGCGCTCACAAAGTGAAGGAGGAAGCTTAGTGTCCAGTGGCAGTTTTGTTGCTGACAGATTTTAGTCCCCCTTTTTTTTGTGAGGCAGTTTCTGGTCAGCAAGTGTGGGAGACAAACTTTTCCGTTTTCAGGTTGGACATCAAAACAAGACTGATCAATGAGGCAGAACAAAGAAATTGACTGTCAGTGGTCTCTCGTTTTGACTCAACCTTCCATTGGTGCTGAGCTGGTTAGCTGGGAAGATGCCCAATTTAAGTTCTTGTATGTTCTTGTACTTTCAGGATGTTTTCATGACCATATAGCAGGTTTTTCCGGGCAGTCTGTCGATTAATTTGCTGTGTTTTGTTGCAAGGCCATCTAACTCCACCAACATTTGGACGTGTGAGTTTTAGACTTCACAGCATCCATCGAACCCAAAACATTGTGCCCATGACAACTGAGAATGAAGCATCCAGCGAACGGAAAGGGACGACCGGATCCGGCCTCATCCACTTCTGCACCTGTTAGAAGTATGGGCTTATGGGCTTTGTTGTGGGTGAAGTCTATCGGCTGAAGTCATGTCAGCACAGTTCTTGTTAGTTCAGAGGGACTTCGGCATGTTTGATGAGTGAAATTTATTGTGGTGTAGCCGCAGTGTAGCCCGTCCCAGCAAGATTAAATCAGGGAGTCTCACTAATAAGGATCACCGATTTAAAGCTTCGGTGAAATTATAAACATGAATAAACATGCAATTCTTCACAAGTCTAAGGGCCACGGGTCATTCGTTTTTGGGTTCCAAAAGTTCCTGTCAATTCTCGTTTACCTGTCCACTTTTTGGCGCCAGTTATGTTTGGGTGGCCATCCTCAGCTTGGTCATCGTACGAAACCCAGTGCAATTGAAGCGTCAACCTCAGATGCAAAAAGATGGCATGTCCAGGCAGTCAGGATTCGATATGTGAGAAACGATGTTGCAAGCTTCAGTCACGGTGAATTTTCCAATGTTCAACACCTGCTGCAGATTTCTGGATGGCTTTGCACAAGCGTGCATAAGTCATGCATAAGCGCTCACAAGCGCCACTTTCTAAGCAGGATTGCGGCGTTAGCGGAATCATGACACGATTCTTCTTTTTTTAAGCTCTGGCTGCCTTTGTCCCAAATGCGTTGCGAAGGGTTTCCATTAATGGTCTGGGGGTCTGAGCGCTGGACCTGTGTTCGCCTCGTTTGTTTTCAGTGACGCTGGTTGCTGGTGTCGTCGTTTTTGCGTCGAAAATCACTGCCATTGGGGGAAGCTTTTGGAAGAGTTCTTGCATGAAGGCAGAAGTGTCCGATTCGTGTGAAATAGCGTGCAAACGTGACATGCTCAAATGTGGAGCTTGATTCCCTGCGCAGGTGCAGGGTTTTGTGAGGTCCGGACATTTGGTCGCTGTTCAATTGAGATTGGTGCTTGGGCGGTGTTTTGGAGGTGTTGGGTGTTGCTGTGCCAGGATTTGCGTTTCAGGCTGCCTCAAAGCTCTGTTTTCATGACAAGTCTCAGCCAAATTGCGATTTTGGTGGAGGGTAGCGTGCACAGAAAGTGTCGAATGAGTTCCAAGCATGTGGTGCGGCTTGAATGTTGCTGAAGAAATGAAGATGTCATGTCGTTACTTTTTGTGACAGGCGCAGGGAATCGTGAGGCTGCGACGTTTGGTGGAGGTGAATGTTGCTGTGCCATTGGGATTTGCTTGTCGGTGGCCGGGGCTTTGAGGGTGCTTGGCAGGGCTGCTTCATGCGTTCGCTCTGGTGAGGCTTCCCGTTTCAGCCTTGGAGGAATTGTGTCTCGTACGAAACGCTTGTCTCGGAGGCTTGACGCGTAACTTGTCTTCTGCGACTTCCAGGAGCCCCGGCTAGTACAGATGTGGTCCGGGTAGCAGTTTGCGGGCTCAGTGGCATGCAGTGTGGCGAAATTATGTGTCTGATGTTGGCGCGCCACATGTGTGATCGCAGCGTGTCACTGGTGAGCAGGAGGGTCTCTCTGCGGCACAGCGTGTGGCAAAATTACGTCCGTCGCTGTGCCATGTGGTTTGGCGCGGCCCCCGTGGAAAGCGCGTTCGCGTAGCTCCGTGCCATTGGGGAACAGGAAGCATGCGCCCGCCATGCCGCTGGTGAGCGAGATGATTCGCGGTCGCCAAAAGAGTGTCCTACAAGTGTGCCCCACAAGGGTGTCCTGCAAGAGCATGACTCCGCCACACCCTACAGGTATATCTTGGGATTATCACATCCACTTTATCACCATTGGGATCATCATCAAAATAGAAGGCTCACCATGATGATGATGATGATCATCATCCTCATCATCAACGTTACCCACCCTAGTGAACCTGTGCAGCGCGTCGAGCGCTCAAACGTGCGGTGAAAGGCGAATGTTTGCGCGCGGCAAACCCTTTGCGGAGATCCCACGCGTGGCTTGCTCGAAAGTGAGGTGACTGCAAATTGCACTTGCGCGCGGGGACCGCCCGTGTCAGTAGCCAAAGTGTACACTGTGGACGAAAATCACGCTGGAGGTTGCCAAAGCGTGTCACTCTCGAAAATCAAGGTGGAAGTGCCCAAAGTGTGGGTCTGGCCAGACCGTGTAACTGCCGCTGACTGGTCTCAGAACTGGCAACTTGTACCGCGAATGTAGTGGTGGAAGCGGCTTGTGGACGCCACGCCTACATCGCCAACCCTCCCGCTATCTCCTGCTCCTCGGTGGAACCCGAGCTCCCAAAAATTTATTCCCGCATTCCCGCACTACATTTGCGCTACAAAGTTGCGAGGTCTCGGGACAAAGCTCCCAAAATCAGCTCCGGCGCCACACTTGCATCACAAAGTTCCCACTTCTGAGCCCGAGCTCCCAGCTGCTTCCATCTGTGCTACGTTGCAAGTTCTGAAGAAGCTGCTTCCCCTAATACATGTGCACTACAAAGTTGCAAGCTCTGAGGCCACACCTCCGAGAGGCTGCTTCCCGCACAATATTTGCACAACAAGTTGTTAGTTCTGAGGCCACAGCTCCCAGAAGCTGCCTCCCGCACTACATGCGCACTACAAAGTTGCCAACTCTGCAGCCCCCAAGCTATTCCCACATTAAATTTGAACTACAGTTGCCAGTTCTGAGGTCACCTCTCCTGGCTCCATGACATTGGGGAACCGAAAAGTACGCGCGCAGCGCGTTAACGGCGTGCCAAGTCGCTGGGGAGCGGGATAATTGGCTGTGTCCACAAGGTTTGGTGTTACATTGTTGCATCTAGTCAATGGCGCACAGTGTGGCAAAATTGCGTTTGTGATGAGCCATGCAGTTTTTTGCGCGGCATCGGTGGAACGTCTGACGCCCATGGCTCCATGCCATTGGGAAACGAAGAACATGCATGCGTAAATGCGGTGTCAAGTCGCCGTCTGTGGCACACCGCGTGGCGAAATTGTAACGTTTTGTTTTCAAAGGCTGCGTTCCGTGGAAAGCGGCGTGCTGCTGTGATTGGAGCGCTGTATGATTGGCGGACCTGTGTCATGTGCATCATGTGTGTTATTGTTTTTCTTCATCATCACTCTCCCAATCCACATCCTCATCATCCTGGCCTTCATCTCCTGCTGTGCTTCCGGGCCTCCCTGTCATCTAGTCTTTTCGGAGGTGGGGGGGTATGGCCGCTATGAAGTAGCTAGTAGCTCAAGTAAGGTACTAGCTAGGACGCAGGGTGGTTCACGTTTCAAGGAAGCTCCCCTGTCTGAGGGCAAGGGCGCTTCCTTGAAGAAGCGCTCGTGCTGTTCATATGGTTCCTAGAATTTTAGGGGAGTTTAATCCAATCCATTAAGCAAGCTGAAACCCTCCCGCACACCACGCTTAGCATATTCAGCGATGAAGGTCTACCAAGACCTGTTGTGCACCATGGGTAGCAAGAATGCGTTTTGAAGGCGGGAAAGTCGAACTGAAGTCCCGAAATTTTGCTGAGGCCATGCTCATGTACATCCCTTGGCGCTTGATGAGGTCGGGCAGTTGCAGAGTCCAAAGGTGGAAACACTTTGGTGAATTCCTTGGATGTGACTTTCTTGACATTGACCAAGCGAAGGATTCAACAAATAAATGACATCGAATAGATGACAAGTCTTCGGCGTCTCTGCACAAATGGTTTTGCGAGGGATAACTATGACGTCGCCTACTTGGAACGAGGAGCGCAAGAGTGAATCAGGTGACTGACCAAAGGAGAAGATTTGCAGACATTCAGTTTAACGCAGGAGCCACGCAGCAAGCCTCTGTTTAGGCCCGGACCCCTGATGTTTTGGCCTTTGCAGAATTGAGGTCCCACAAACTTTGATGCCACAAGCTTCACTAATCAGCATATTTCAACCTCAGCTACTTGCCTCTCCTGCAGCCAATACGGGGCTTTCGATAGCAGACTATTGAGGCTGGTTATGTTCCACTGTACTTGAAAGGATAAATATTGTTTGGCTTACCGCTGAGTATGCTTGACCAATAGCCTACTGACCAAGTTGATTCTCCCCATCAACAGTGACAGCAGAATGGATTTGGTTGATGTTTATTGGTTTTGTTGCTCAGCAGCTCTTTTTAAGACCACGACAAGGATGATTCTTGCATGGCCACAAACAATAAGCAGACAAGCAGGTTTTCCACACTGACCAGATGTGCTTCGGCACTTGCAGAGCCTTGTGGATCATTTGTACCAGACGTTTTGCACATGGAGTCCTTTGGAGCATCCCCCGGTTCACATTGGCAAACACAACATGCAGGTCTTGGATTCCTAGCTTTGTAGGTTTGGCTGTTTATTTGCTCAGGTGGTAATCCCCGCGACCTTGCTTGTGAGATGCGAGCTGTGCCTGCTGACGCGAACAACGATTTGCACACCAAGCAAACTGTTTTAATACAGTTACTCGTGGATGCAGAGCCCGGAACCTCTCTGGCTTGCGCGGTTGCAAGTGCTGGATATTGTTCGTGTCTTTTCTGCAGGGCTGCAATTCGAGACAAATTGAGACTCGAGGTGTGCAACAGACTTTGCCCTTGGTGGGAGAGAATGAAACATGATCACATGTTCCTCATGGAAAGGTCTACTAAGTCTACTATTCCCAGAAACAGCATTTTTGTTCATCCTGCATGTGTAGCCAAATGGACTGTTGAATTCGGGAATGACAACAATGAAAACGGTGTTTCATTCCATGGAAAGGCAGAGTGATCCCTACAAAGCAAGAAGACTGGCACTGAAATAGAAACAATATGGGTAGCGTCAGCAAACTACAACTCAAACATGGTCACAAAGTAATATCGTGAATGTAGCACAACATGGCTTGCAAATGGGTGCGGCAACACAAGTAGGTCTTACATGGTCTTACTTCATACTTTTTGGAGAGAATGCTAGCTGCTGGTGTGATCAATGCTGTGGCATCAATGCAGAGTTGGGCTTCTTGTTGGTGGCATCAATGCAGAGTAGAATGGTTTTGCTTGGAGCGGCCCGTTTCAAGCAATCATTGCTGTACGAGAGGTGTTCATGGCGTCTCACTTGTCGAAAAAGCTGACTTTTCGGCCTTGTTTCTTGAATAAAGAGATATGCACGCGCATTGCTTTTTCTTAGATAGATGAAGTGGCCCATCACATACCGCTACCATGTATCCGGGAAAGATGCTGCTGGCAATCGAACTCGCAACGGACTTTCCATCATTCCACTTGCAAGCTTACAAGTTTCTTGTGTGCACTCATTCTGGTGAAATCTGTTGCTCCGCACTACGTCCGCCTCAAGGCGAGTCACGTCAAAAGTCTCGATATTCTATCTCCGGGTTCCCTGCTGATTTGATGTTCAGTGCAGCAGGGAATTTAATTTGTGTGAACTGCCTTTGCATCTTTGCATGAAGCATTGATTGTCCTTTGAAGCGTGACGACGGAGGGTGCAGGCTGCAGTATTCCAGTAACAATTTACAATATAACTTCCAGTATAAGCGCCTCAGTGCTCACTAGGCTTGGGGAGTTGTGGGTTCATGTGGCTAACATTGCTTGGCTCGTGTGCATGTGTGTTGCCCAGGTTGAGATTCTTTTGAAGGTTAAGTAGTCATCCATTCTCTAGCCTATCCACAATCGAGGATTGTGGACTGTGCCTCTTCTAGGCAAAGGATGTAAGAAGCCATGACATGTGGTTTGCACTCTTCGTCGTCGCTCTAGCTACTGACATCCTTTGGTTGAGTATGTAGCATGTCTCATGCCTCGACCTGAGAAACTTGAATCTGGCCTATGTTAGGGGCTCCTGGCATCACTACTAGGAGCAAGGACGCCATTAGGGGCTCCTGAGCAAAGGTCACACTATGTAATTGAACACCATTCCCCTTGTCGACTCATACAAGAGCTGATCACCGCCAGAGAGGGATCTTATGGAGTCAGCTAGAGCTCCGAAGTCACAGTCCGAAAGAATGAATTTCAAGATTGGAAGACGCATTTTTTCATTGTCTATTTGAATGCAAGGTTGGTAATTTATAGAGATTCTCATTTCTTTATCAGTCCTGGGGAGAAGACGATGGTAACATGGACGACCTTAGGCTTTGACTTCCTAGAGATGTCAACTGGCCCCTTTGAGGATCTGAAGGCTGAAGGCTTGACCCTTTCGATAATTAAATTAATTTAATAGCTTTTTGTTACTACTAGTAAGGCACCTGTTACTACTAGTAAGGCACTTGTTTCTACCCCTGTTGTTTGACTTTGACCTTTTGATCAAACATTGTTCCAGCGAACAGACTATGTGGTCATACTGAGGAGGTCATCCAAAGAACTCGGGTCTGGAGCGCACAACGTTGTTCTGCAGGGACAGGACAAGCTGATGACCAGCAGTCAGCCAACTCAGGGCGAACTCTGTTCTGAGGAAAAAGGCAGTGGCTTTGGCTGCTTTGTGCATCTTCGTCCACAATCTGCCGCCTCAGGGTCCAATCCCCCCATTTACAGAGGTTTGTATACATCCAGCTACATGTGTTCACCACAAATATGTTCAAACCACACCACCTACTGTAGCTTTTGATCGCTCCTGACTGCACCCCTATGCGAGCGCTGTGTCATAGCCAATTCTTCGGGGAGTTTTCTCAGCGATTCTTCGGAAGTTACCCACTTACTGCACACAGAGCTGAGCGGAGCAGTTAGCGTTTCCAAAGAGTGCGTTTGTAGCAGGGTTGAGAGTTGAGGGCAATTGCGGCAATTGCCACACAACATGCTGAAGAATTTGTAGTTTCACCGTGTAGTGAAATTTGATGTTCGCCTCACCTTCTACAAAGCAAAGCGAAACAATTGCAGAGATTTCTTTGGAATGATCATTGTTAGCGGCTTTAAACCACAGCGATGGTCAGATTTTGATGATGCTGCACGGCTGTTTCCATGGCTGTTTTGGCTCGGTCGTTCTGCAATGCTCTATTTATCTCTATCTTGGGATGTCAGAAGGCGTGACGATGTTCCTGATAATTCAGTGGCGGCGGGCGCTGCTGCCTTCGGTACGCGAGGCTGGCAACTCATGGCTGGCAGCACCAGCCCGGCACTTTCACAAGACGAAACGACGAGGTTTTGTTGGAGGCAAAATTGAAGTGTTTGAGTTGTCCACATGCTCCATACTGTTCACATGCAACAAAATGCGCCACCCAGTGGCCGCCCAGGTCACGATGGACCTCAGCTCCTTGCCAATGTGACGAAGAAGCGCATCAAACATCCAGATCTGTGCTTTCCTGTTCCTATGTTAATCCACCCCAACCTCTCCCTATTAGTGCCATAGAGCAGTCTCCACAAGGTTTTTTGGTTACAATCATCGACAATCGATTGGCAGATGATTTGCACAAGCACGCGTCCAATGGGTGTGTGCGGCCTAGGCGTGATGAATATGGAGACCCCTTTGAAGACTATGGGTTCTTGAAGCGAGTAGCGCCCCCGGATTGCTTGCCGATTTGGCAATCTGGTACGTCCATCTCGACAAGATTGATTTTTCTCGAACTTGAGTGACAATCTGCTTTGACTTTCGTTTGTCTTCTTTCGCTCGATGTAGTTCTTGTTCAGCATGTGCATAGTGACAACCGTTTCTGTTTCTTCTTCTTCTTCTTCTTCTTCAACCCTTCGTGACTTCGTGATTGGTGAACACAATCAAGGCTGAGGAGAGCAAAGCGCTGGGTAACGAAGCATTCAGCAAAGAGAGGTACGAGAAGGCGACCTTGCAATCATTCGCTTGTTCGGAAAGTGATTGTCAGAGACTGCTTTCTATCAACGATTCCTTTGACAGCTTGAGCCAAGGCAATTGCTGCATATGCCGGCGGCCCGGTGATACTAGGAGCAAGGACGCTACTAGGGGCTCCTGGCCTTACTACTAGGAGCAAGAAGCTACTAAGAGCAAAGGGCATCGCTACGAACGGAGCAAGGACGCTACTAGGGGCATGTCCCCAGCTTCGTGCGTCGACTCTCACGACACAATCATGACACCAGACACCGGTCAAGCCTGTGACACTGTGCTTCGCTCTCGGAGGTTTGATCAGATAAGCTAGCCTTGAAACAGCGCTGACACCTCTACGCCTCTACACTTCGAAAGATCGGATAAATTATGTAACAGCATTTTGCGATGTTGCGGATTGCAAGGGGAGCAAGCGAAAAGGAGCAAGCTGGTCCAGCACGGTACCATGGTGTGCCATGTCTCCTGACCAGCGCTAATGCATGCTAATGCGCTCCTTTCGAGACACGGGGATGGTACAGGAACGTAAAGGATGATCATGGACGATCGGTTTCGCTGTTTTCAACTCTGTGTCACGTCCCAATCGAGACTCGCGTGCAAGGCTTCGAGCGTTTGCATAAACACGGCAATATTTGGCAAGCTAGGCTCTTCTTGCTTGGCCCTGTACTTTCTTTACGCACCCTAGACAGACTGCTACTTCATTGCAGCATGATGTCACCGTTCTATGTTTGCTGAGAGAGAGAGAGAGAGTAAGGAACGACATATGAAGGACATATATATATATATATATATTTGCTACCCCCCACCAATACCCACCTTTTGCGTTGAGAATGACACATGGCTCCGTTTGGCAAAATGTTAACATGATTAAGTAACCTCCCGCAAGTAATCAAGCCCATCTCGAGCCCCCAACACTAAACTAACTTGAAACCACAATTCCACATTGGCCTCCCTCTAATATGTTTTCTCGATCACAGTCAAGCATTTCAATAGTTGTCACCAAATAAAGTATAGCAGTCTCACAACGCATCACCAAGAAAGCATGTGTGAAAGATTTATGATATAATTTCACAAGAACTATATCATGACACATTAAAAGCTAGATTGTGCTCAGATGTTTGTTATGTTTCTTTGATTTGAGATGCACTTGATAGTGCCCTTGGCTAAAGGAACAGTTACAAGCAGAACAGGTACTGTAATGATGTTTACCGTCCATTCATTGTTTGCTTTGACACCCATTTGCCTAATACCTATGTGGACAGTCCTTCAAGTGCCTCTTCCTACCATCAATCATAAAACATAATTCTACAGTAATTTTTTTTGACTATTAGAGCTACGGTGTATTCAAAAACTTAAATTCAGGATAACTTCAGGAAAATAGTTTGATTTACAGCAATATTGTCATACTTGTTGTAATCGTTTTCATGAATAAATTGATGTTTGAAATTATTAGAATATATTTCAATGAAAGCTCACTTCAAGAATTACTTTGAAAATTTGTATAGATTGTTTACTCAAAAATGAAAAAGCTGAAGTACCCAAAAGAGTGAACAAAAAAGTAAAATCAGTCATTAGCAAAGAGAAAAGTATGCCATGGTACGGTACCTTCTGGATTGAAGATTCAAGATTCCACCCAAAGTCCTGGCAGAATCTTCCATTTTCAATCCCGCAGGTACGCATACCGTGGCGTACTTTTCTCCATCCTCAATCCACTCTAAGTACTGGAGTCTTACTTTTCTTCTTTCTTTCTATACCCATTGTATACATATATATATATATATCCTCCAAATGGAGAGTGTTCAAAACAACAATTTGGAAAAAGGTCACAAAATATCACTTAAAACTATGATGCCAAAATATCCCTAAAGCACTGTAATTTACAGTACAAAACACACATTGGGTGGGTATTGGAAGGGGGGGTGCAATATATATTACTTAAGACTGTGACACGTTTGTGAAAAATGCAACGTTGTTTTAACGCGTTTACGTCCTTCTTTTTTGGAAGACAAATAGGGAAAAGAAAGAAGACGTTTGTATAGTTATAGAAGCCAACGTTTCAAGTTCTTCTTGGTGGTCTCACTCTCAAGTGCCTGCACATCCTCTGCGGAAATGACACCATCACTGTTCCGGTCAAAACGATCAAAGGCCGATGCCCAAGACTCACGGGTAAAGCCAGCGACGGAAGCACACTTTTAAGCCGCACACGCTTCCCAGTGCGCGTAGAGCTTTTGTCCCACAGAAGCATCTGGGTACGTGCTCCGAAGCCACCACTGGTGAACGTAGCACCACCCCAACCCGCCCCACCCCACTCTCAGTCACTGGTATTGTGTGCGTAGGGCAGAAGGGTTTGACCAAAACGTTAACGTGCCATCCGACCAAAACCCTCGGAATCGTGGAACAGTTCTGAAGTCATAATTACAGTGTGTTTTACATCGACCGACGAAAACACGCGCGGACAAGACGCGTATTTTCTGCGACAAATTCCGAAAAGAAACCATCCCAAATACACGCAAATGACGTATGAAAGTACACGTGAGATTAAAACACACACAGTCTTAAAGAAACCCGTTTGGATACATATTAGTATATACAGTACTTTGAATGGAAAGCAATCACTTGAATCTTCCAACTGTGGATGCAAAGCAATTGAGGATGATGCCTTGGAACAGCTGTGTTGAGCTCAAAACCAATTCAATAGCGGCAGTCGGAGACAAAGCCCTTGTTTTCACACTGTACCCAGTTCACTGCCAAGGCTCACCATCGCGTACGACAAGTCCATTTTGATAGGCAAGAAGAAGTGGAACGACGTGGTTGTTCTGAGAAGCACGCTTCACCTCAACAAGAGCACATGCCATTACAAGTCCAAACCTCAGAGGAAATAATCGTTTCTAGGTTGGAGGCCATCGCTAGTAGGTTGGAGGTCATTGCTACTAGTAGCAAGTTACTACTAGTAGCAAGAAGCTACTAGTAACAAGGGCATCGCCATTAGTAACAGTTGGACGCAACACGGACCCGAAAGGCTCAAAGACTGGCATCAGTCTTTAGATGCTGCTCTTGAATGCCTGGTCGGGAACCATCGAGATGAGATGGTTTTCACGGACCCGCAGATACGACAGAAGATCAAAGAGAGCAAAGCTTAGTTTTCACAGATTGTTGACCTTCGTTTTTGAACCTTCCGTCCTCCTTCCTTTGTTCTCAATATGCAAGGTCAGAGAGAAAGCACGGCCACACAGGAGTCAATTTGCTCGAGTTTCGTCAGGGCCTTTATTGTTTTGAACATGACATGTGACACTTTGTGGTCCCCGAAGGCCTGCCCCACATGACGCGTGCCAAAGCCTGGTTTCGAGCATCACAGCCAAGCGCTCACTAAGTTTATTTATTGTTTCTACTAGGAACAAGTGCATCGCTTCTAGTAACAAGCGCCTTACTAGTAGTAACAAGAAGCTATTAGAATTAAGTTTAAGTAGAATTTACATAGAATTTATTAGAACTTAATTACCTCCGAGATGTGATGTCTACCAGCTTCTTGTTACTACTAGTAAGGCACTTGTTACTAGTAGCGATGCACTTGTTCCTAGTAGCGAACATTGTTTCTTTTTAAACCAAGAGACATTCTTTGTGAGGTGCTATGGACATCTCGATTTTCTGGACAAAGCCAAAGATGCCCTGGCCAAGGCTGGCATCTGACGGTCTGTAGTTGACGGTTCGCAGTTTAGCCCAGGCGCTGGAAGCATGTGACGATCAAAGTCTAATTGCTGAAATCTCACAGCATTCTCTTCGACACTTGGGCTGCATGGATCTGAACGGGCGCTTCAGATCGCGAAAAGGTCCTAGTAGCCTCCGTTAATGCTAATCTTAATTTAAATCTAATTGAAGTCTATAGCTTCTTATTGTTTCTACTAGCTTCTTGTTTCTAGTAGTAAGGCACGTGTTACTAGTAGCGATGCACTTGTTCCTAATTGCTGAAATCTCACAGCATTCTCTTCGACACTTGGGCTGCATGGATCTGAACGGACGCTTCCGGCAATCAGACGTTGGTTCAAGGCCTAGATACGCTGGAAAGACTTCAGAAAGACAAGCAGAAGAAGCAGTTTGCCGGTTTTTGGGACAAATTCCAGGAGTTTTCACTGTCCAAAAACAACCTCTTTTGTGTATACGTGCAAAATACGCCAGTCCAGCCAGGAGCGCGGTGGTTACTCAGATGAGAAGAACCAACCTCAGGCTGGGTTGGATAGACGAGCACAAAGAGCTCGCTGTCGCCATTGTATGCTTGGAAGGATTGGGACAAACTGAAGTACTGGGAACGCTTCAAGCATGCCAAACCCTCGGCAATTCGCGTTTCTGCCATGCCGTTGCAAGATCTAGTCTTTTGAACAGGTTAAGATTCAAGATGGTGCCTACATTTTCCTGTAGCGAAGTTGCCATGCTGTGACACCATCAGTCGAATATAAAGACATCGATGAGTTCATAGAAATTCATTTATTGTTTAAATGTTTTGAGGTCGAAGACTATGAGGAACAATATATGTATGTTGATGCGGAGCGTGCAAAGCAACAGGACTGGCCGAGTCACAGCGAGTCACAGCGTGACATCCCTAAGAAAGAGAACAAAAGCCTAGAAAGGCAAGAAAAATGTAAAAAAGCAATAGTGCTCTAAGGTTTTATTATGTTCTATCTATTTGTCTTCGTTTCCTGTCTGTTTTTCTATACTTGTTCTCTGCCTGCGTTGGAACTTAGGACACCAAGAAAGGCCACGCAGCTGAGCTTTTGCACCACCTCCCTCCTGGTGCAAAATGGGACACAGCCGTCAAGGTTGCGGACTCAGATGACGATGTGAAGGGATTACCAAAAGTAATGCCCTTGTTACTAGTAGCTTCTTGTTACTAGTAGTAAGGGCAGAAGCTACTAGTAGCGTCCTTGCTCCTAGTAGCGATGCCCTTTGTTACTAGTAGCTTCTCGTTACTAGTAGTAAGGGCAGGAGCTACTAGTAGCTTCTTGTTACTAGTAGTAAGGGCAGGAGCTACTAGTAGCCTCCTTGCTCCTAGTAGCGATGCCCTTTGTTACTAGTAGCTTCTTGTTACTAGTACTAGTGCCAGGAGCTAGTAGCGTCCTTGCTCCTAGTAGCGATGCCCTTTGTTACTAGTAGCTTCTTGTTACTAGTAGTTAGGGCAGGAGCTACTAGTAGCGTCCTTGCTCCTAGTAGCGATGCCCTTTGTTACCAGTAGCTTCTTATTGCTAGTAGTAAGGGCAGGAGCTACTAGTAGCGTCCTTGCTCCTAGTAGCGATGCCCTTTGGTACTAGTAACTAGTAGCTTCTTGTTACTAGTAGCAAGGACAGGAGCTACTAGTAGCGTCCTTGCTCCTAGTAGCGATGCCCTTTGTTACTAGTAGCTTCTTGTTTCTTGCTCGTAGTAGCGATGCTCTTTGTTACTAGTAGTTTTTTGTTACTAGTAGTGAGGGCAGGAGCTACTAGTAGCATCCTTGCTCCTAGTAGCAATTCCCTTTGTTACTAGTAGCTCCTTGTTACCAGTTGTAAGGGCAGGAGCTACTAGTAGTCCTTGCTCCTGGTAGCGATGCCCTTTGTTACTAGTAGCTTCTTGCTATGCTTGCTCCTAGTAGCGAGGCCCTTTGTTACTAGTAGCTTCTTGTTACTAGTAGTAAGGGCGGGAGCTACTAGTAGCCTCCTTGCTCCTAGTAGCGATGCCCTTTGTTACTAGTAGCTTCTTGTTACTAGTACTAGGGCCAGGAGCTAGTAGCAACCTTGCTCCTAGTAGCGATGCCCTTTGGTACTAGTAGCTTCTTGTTACTAGTAGCAAGGACAGGAGCTACTATTAGCGTCCTTGCTCCTAGTAGCGATGGCCTTTGTTACTAGGAGCTTCTTGTTACTAGCAGTAAGGCCAGAAGCTACTAGTAGCGTCCTTGCTCCTAGTAGTGACGCCCTTTACTAGTAGCTTCTTGTTAATAGCAGTGAGGCCAGGAGCTACTAGTAGCGTCCTTGCTCCTAGTAGCGACGCCCTTTACTGGTAGCTTCTTGTTACTGGCAGTAAGGCCAGGAGCTACTAGTAGCGTCCTTGCTCCTAGCAGCGACGCCCTGTACTAGGAGCTTCTTGTTACTCGCAGTAAGGCCAGGAGCTACTAGTAGCGTCCTTGCTCCTAGTAGCGACGCCCTTTACTAGTAACTTCTTGTTACTAGCAGTATGGCCAGGAGCTACTAGTAGCGTCCTTGCTCCTAGTAGCGACGCCCTTTACTAGTAGCTTCTTGTTACTTGCAGTAAGGCCAGGAGCTACTAGTAGTGTCAGGAGCTACTAGTAGTGTCCTTGCTCCTAGTAGCGACGCCCTTTACTAGTAGCTTCTTGTTACTACCAGCGTGGCCAGGAGCCTCCTTGCTCCTAGTAGCGACGGCCTTTACTAGTAGCTTCTTGTTACTAGCAGTAAGGCCAGGAGCTACTAGTAGCGTCCTTGCTCCTAGTAGCGACGCCCTCTACTAGTATCTTCTTGTTACTAGCAGTAAGGCCAGGAGCTACTAGTAGCGTCCCTGCTCCTAGTAGCGACGCCCTTTACTAGTATCTTCTTGTTACTAGCAGTTTGGCCAGGAGCTACAAGTAGCGCCCTTGCTCCTAGTAGCGATGCCCTGTACTAGTAGCTTCTTGTTACTAGCAGTAGTGCCAGGAGCTACTAGTAGTAGCCTCCTTGCTCCTAGTAGCAACGCCCTTTACTAGTAGCTTCTTGTTACTAGCAGTATGGCCAGGAGCTACTAGTAGCGTCCTTGCTCCTAGTAGCAATGCCCTTGGCTACCGG